AGAAAGATAGTTTATAAATTATTCTTTACAACGTTCGAATATATATATATATATATGCATATAAGAAAGAGAGTCATTAGAATGCACGATAATACTGTTTATAAATCTTTGAACAAAAAAATACGTAGAACGGAAACCTTCTTCCGGAAACCATCGAATTAAAGGCAAACTTTCTCTCTTTCTCAATTATAAAAATATCATTATGTATAAATAAAATTAATATAGAAAACAGAAATGTGAAAATTGACAACTTGATATGCAAAACTTGATGAATACTTATTCTATGTAATAAACAAAAAACAAAAAAAAAACGAAACAAAATATGAATTACATTCGTGGAAATATTGCATAATCGAATTTTTTAATTCCACTCTTTTGCATCGTTCCCTATATCAAAATATTCAAATTTCTTCTTTACTGGTCACTAGATTAAAAAAAGAAAAGAAAAAAAAAAAAAAAAAAAGTTTCAAATTTATAGATAGAGAAGATCTCAAGTTCATCCCCTCTCTGCCAATCTCTAATGCTCGTTATTCTCGAGACTGGTGAGCAACAGAGAAGGGGAAGGAGGCGGATGCTTGCGGCGATGCGACATCATGCTGCCCCTCTGAGTAAAACATTGACCGCACAAATCGCACGCATACGGTTTCTCGCCAGTGTGAGTCAGTTTGTGCAATCTAAGGGAAGCAGATCTGGCGAACGTCTTCAAGCATACTTTGCACTGATACGGCCGTTCGCCGGTGTGCTTCCTAAGATGCAGTTTCAACAAGTAGTTCGTGGCGAAACTCTTGTCACACTGGGTGCACGCGTAAGTCTGGGAATGGAGGATCATGTGATTGCGAAGATTGTACTCCGAGGTGAAGGTTTTCTGGCATACGTCACACTTGTGCCGCTTCACTTGGACCTCCGTTTGATTCAACACGTGTTGATAGAAATCGCTTCTCGACTCGAATCTTTTCTCGCAAAGCGTTCTCAGCATGTCCGAAGCTCCCTCCTTCGAAGCTTTGTGCTTCATCAGCAAGTGATTCTCCAAGCTGTTCCAACCTTTGAACTTTCTCGGGCAGATGGTGCAGCAATAGGGATAGACGATCTCTTTGTTCTTCTGATGCTTGGCCTCGTGGTGAGCGATGTTCTTCACAGCCATCCCGCAGAATCTGCACACGTAGGTGGCGTTCATGTGAGACCTGTCTATGTGAAGGCTCAGGTCCAATTTCAATTTGAATCTCTTCCCGCAAAAGTCGCAGACGAATTTCGGTTCTATGTCGGTGTGCTCGCGGATCCGATGGTGCTTAAGCCCTGTCACGGTTTTGTACTGCATCTGGCAGACGGGGCATCGATGAAAGGAGACCACCTCGTGCGTTTTTCGATGCTCCTCGAGGGCCAAGTCCGAGAAGTAACCTTTGTGACACTTGTCGCAGTTGTACGGCTTCTTGTGCGTTTTCGCCACGTGCTTATGCATCTGATCCTCGTCCTTGAAACACTTTTCACAAAGGGGGCAAACGTTCCTCAAAGTGTCCAATATCTCGTCCACTTCCTCCTTCAAATCTGCCCCGATTTCCGATTTCGACTCCTCCGTCTGCTTGTCGTCGATCACCTCCATCCTTCCTTCCGATAATATCTCTTCTTGCTCGTCTCGTTCTTCCCTCTTCCGTTTCCTCTGCCCCCTCTTGCAATTCAGTCGCCTCTCCTTAGGTTTATTCTGGGGGGGCAAGTTCAATTCCGGCTTGATAGGCACCAACACCTTTTTAAGCTCGTAGGAAACCAAACCGTCGTCACCCTCGAACGGTATAAGCACGCTTTTGATCACGTTCAATCCAGTCTCGTCCCTAACTTCAACGGGCACCAACATATTCCTCACCTCCTTGGTCACCGGATCCCTGACGGGTACCAGAACAGTTTTCACCGAGTCGACGATCGGCTCGTCCAACTCTATCCCCTCCAACGAGTTGTTCGTCACGTTGCTTTCGTTTCTGCTCGAGTTATCCGAATACTCGCCAATCTCCAACTTGATTTCCAACGGCACTGAATCCTCTACAACGGTTACTCGATAGTTTCTATCCTGGTCCATCAAGTACGTTTCCGCGATCGCAGACCTCCTGAAACATCCATTCGTTTAGTCAGAACGTAATCGAAACGTGATCGAAACGACGCGAAACAAAGAGAGAGAGAGAGAGAGAGAGAGAGAGAGAGAGAGAGAGAGAAGAAGAAGAAGAA